CACACACACACACACACACACACACACACACACACACACAAATACCCACACGTACTTAAGAGTCCACACACACGTACACGCAATCACACACATATACACATGAAAAAACAAGCGCAACTTGCTAGCAACACATTTTAAAGCACTACTAGGTATGAAAATGGAAAATTTCGAGGAGGTCGAAGATTTTGGATATTTTCAATGAAACGGACAGCAGTACGTCTGGTCATAATAGCATCAAAAAATTTTTTTATTTGTAACTTAACTGTTTATTATATTATTAAAGTATTGATTGCATGATGAATGAAATTGACAAAACTGTGTTAAAACTACTCAGTTAAAATAACATATTTAGGAGAAGGGCAACAGACCTGTGGATTCGGTGCTCACACCTCCTCTTACTATCGCCTTCGCTCTCTCAGTCATTGATTGGACACATTGCTAGAAAAATTTGATTTTTTGATAAATTTCTAAAACAGCCCTTTATCTTCGTTGCCGCCCGTCTTTTTTTGACAATTTTCTATCCTTAGGCGTTGTTCTGCCTTCCATCGGTTTGTACCGGAGCGGGAACTGGATTTTTAATCGATGCTTCAACGACGTAATTGATCGGCCTGCCCAAATTTTCACTTGTGTGGTGGTAACCAAGCAATCAAAAGGACATCTGGACTGGTCATTTGCGAATGTGTGAGGCAATACGAAAATGACATATGGAGTAGCGCTCATGCAACACTTCGCGAAAGTAGGGAAGACTGCCATGCGGTAAAAAGGTTCGCTTGAACGCGTTTGTGAAGTTACGCGGGTAAGTCAAGCTTAACTGAAACGCACTACAAAAGTACACCACTGCTGTAATATCGTGAAGGAAAGATAAAGCTGATCAAAATATTAATGTGAAAGCAGTCAGCAAGATTCCCCTGCACCCTACTTTGTATAAATATTTGCCTTTTACCGAACGTTCATTGTGAGAGACCTTTGAAATGAATCGGTCACTCGAAGAGCCCCTAGAACGACGATGGTGCGAGCTACGGACAGACAAATTTGAAGGTAAAAGGACGAAGAAACGTCTGTGATGAAAATGCAGCTAATGTGACAGAATGCAGCAACAGTGGAGACGAAGCCGATGACACAGACTTTTTGCTATTGGTGCAGTAGATGGGACGCATTTTCGAAAAATTTTGTAGGCCGGGAGGGGATCGAACCACTCCTTCACTGCCGGGTACGATGTGCTATTAGCTAAACTACCAGGCCTGGCGCTCGGGGTTTGAGCCTGGCAACATATCTACTGCTTGTTGCCTTTCAAGGCAGGGTACACTTTTTTCTTCTTTGCCTGCAATCAACAGTTTTTATCCTTCTTTTTTTGGCGTGGCGGTTTTTCACACGTTTTTCGTGACAGCTGGTGTTCAGGACAAAGTAGGCCGGAAGGACGGACGAGCGAAGGTGTAGGAAGAGAGAACATAGCGAGTGATAACTCATACTTGAACATTATGTCGCTCCTGTCTCTGTAGAAACTGAAGCAATTGGCTATTGTATATTTTATCGTGTATTAAATGATGAATTGTTGGCCCATCGTCGTCACTCTCGTAGATTCGTTTCAGCAAACAGTGCATTGCAACGCACGCAATCAGACCACAAGCCAGACCCACGCACTCGATGATCAGTGGTACCGAGTCGAAGCTGCTCCCGCGGAGCAATTTTGCTGATTTGCCCACTTTGAATGCGCTGCAAATCACGATCACACAGTACAACACTAGCGATATGGATGTTTTCAGAATTAAAAGCCAGACTCCTTAAATTACACTCCTTTTATGAGACAAAGATACTTGAAAGTTATTCAGAAGAAGGCACATCGCTGATAGCATTTAACTGATACCGATGATTGAGAGAACTGTCTAACGGAGAAAACTACTTTCAGCAGTTTTCACTCGCTGAAATTTTCTGATACTAGTTTATTGCTTCAACAAAAATTCCGAAGAGATTAATATTCCCATTGACGGGACTGACTGACTGCCTGATAATAGCTAAGTCGGCACCTTTGTCTTTATCATTAGTGTGGTAGATTTTTTTAACGTTCACGCAGAGTGAATAATTAGTTGCGTGCATCATCGGAAAGGCGCACTTATAGATTTCTGCGCTACACTACTATAGCTTGCAATAGCTAAATGAAACGCGGAGGAGTCCTTTCGTCGAGTAATGGTGGATTTTCAACTAATTCTGAAGTTGCGAATATTGTTATTTTAGATGGAGCTGTTTTGGCATGCTGCTAAGTCGTGCGACAAAGTCCTAACCGCCTTTCGTGTCATAGCATAAGAAAACGTGGAAGTCGACTTTACTTTTCTAGATCCCTACATAGTCAGTGGGGTTACTCCTAGACTTCGCAGTTCGGCAACCAAATCACTGATACAGAAGCGCGTAACATAAAAGTTGTTGTTCAGGCCTTTGGCTCCAAGCATGACCAAATGCTTTCTAATATCTCAGGCTGAGGGTTGTTAGAAATGTCTGAATTTAGACTAAGGCGAAAGACTAGGATCCGGTCTGATCTAAAACTGCAATTGACTTTTAATTAAAATGGAATAGAAATAAAACAGGAAAAAAATCGGAAAGTCGAAACTACGGGACAGAATATTGGTAATCATTTGGTTATAGGGGATAATGTGATAGCCCGGTAGAAAAGATGAGCTTTCTGGCCACAAAAATTGCCAAGAAATGATCGATTCTGGCTTCTTCCTTCTTTCTTTTTGCTTGAATTTTTTTTCTTGATTTGACGTCTTGCACCCAGTTTCTTGCGCTCCTTAGGCCAAACTTAATATTTATTTTTGACCCCTACTCAGTTTTTCACACTTCTCATGCGAACGACTTTAGCGTCTCCAGAACACTGACTAAACTATCTTCTTGGCCAGCAGATTAATGCACCATCTGAGCAAGCTTGCGCAGAAATTTAGAAGGCACCTATCATTTTTCACGGAAATATTCGTTGGGTAATCTACATTCATTGAGAGCTGCATCCCCTTTCGTTATGACAAACCCTACACCAGATACTAAACAAATAAAATACAGCTAATACAGAGTTTTTTAGTTTTTTATAGATCTTTTGTATTTATGCAAATTTCCTCTAGAAATTCGCAGTTGTAGTAGTGCGAAATTACCAAGTGGAGGTACGCGCATCTCAGAGTTGAAGGGCCTGGCGTAATGATGCCCCGCTTATGAAATCATCTTGCAACATCCTTCACAGCAATTTTGCAGATGATTTTAGTAACCCTGATGAAACTTGAAATCTGCAAGAAATGAATCGTCTTTTTTATGCCACTGATGAAAATGTACTCCATGAATTGTATAAAAAGCCAACACGACAAATCTTTATTCACATTTATGGCAAGTGAATGTTGTGGACGATATCACTGGCGACCGATAACAATCATCCCAGCGAAAACAGCTTACGAATGCACGGCACAGCATTACTACTCGAGATCACTGTCAATTTTCAATCTTTTGTTGAGTTCCTTTCGCTTTTCAAGCACATGGCAGTGACGAATTTATCGCTTCATGCTAAAATTATTAGAATGTGAATTAGGTTTTATCTAGAATCAGCTTGAAAATCACCCGAAACTTTGTAGCATGTGGATTTGCAGTCAGCACGTCTCCTATGGAAAAACAAAAGCTTCTGAAGTATTTCAGCACCACTGTAAAAGCTCTCTGTTGTTTCAGTTTTTTCGTAAAAAATTATAAATAATCTTATAAAAATTTTCGGATAAAAGGTGCTGCATTGCTGAGCGCTTTTGTCGATTTCTTTGTAGACTCATTAAAAAAGATGTTTTCTGTGCATGCTGCGGTGATGATTTGACTACACCCAATCAATTCATTGAATTTTTGAGTACAATTGAGTGTCGCGCCGAGTCGAATACCTTTCTGATGTAGACAAAAGCAAACACACCTGAGTTTTTTTACTAGTTACTAGTTTAATTTAAATAAATAAAACTTCTTGAATATTGCGATTTTTATCAAAAGAAACAGAAATCTAATAAACATAATCAAACTGAACTAAAATGGAAAATCTTCCAAATTCGGAAAACCAGGTATTTGGTTGGGGAATGCTAAATAGAGGGATTAATCCTGCTTTTGTCCGATTTAATGACGGAACACCCACTGGCCTCAGCTTATTGCAAGAAAAAATGTCCAACAATTAGGGCAAACAGCAAGCCATACTTTAATTTCGGCGAGTAGTAGCTTAATAAGGCTCCACTGGGAGGACTAGCCATCAGACTTGCCAGAGTCATTTTGCGGTATTCCTCGAGTTTCTGCGACGGCTGTTTTTGGCAATTTGCATCAGTTGCCAAGTTCGGTAAGTTCGAGTGCATTGCCGAATGTTCGTCCACTGGCCCGCAGTTCCCAGCTTCACTCTGAAATTTTTATTTTCATTACCAGTCTTAATTTTTCTTTAACTGCAATAGTGTTCGTGTTAATATTGCCCCAAAAATTTTTGTTATTCGCTTGGCAACTCTCAGAATATCTTCGCAGATGCACATTCGCAGCGCTCAGTTCAATCATCTTATCTCTGTGTTTTGTTTTGTCGCCACTCTCATTCCTACCTCCTTCCTTACTAACACACATTCTTCTACGTGATGCGGATTCTTCTGCATGTGTTTGAATTTGACACGAATTTTTCAGGTGGCAATATGCATTAGCAGCGCACGCTGACGTGAAGCAGACGTTGTTATCGTACTTCGATGAATAATTGGTACGCATTTGCATGATATTTCTGTTGTGACTGAGGGCGCGGAACAAAGCAGCGAGTAGTTACCCGTCAAGAAAGCCACTTATATATAAGGTGAGGAAGACTGCTAAGAGACAGTTTCTGCACTCAGTTCGCAGATCGGTAAGCCCGGACACTCTTCGCCAGCAGACGACGGGATCGTCGTCACCGCAGGATCCGAAGCACCCCGGTGTTTTAGGTCGCGGAGGAAAGGCATCCAGTTCCAGTGAATCCAGTTCCTCCTTTCTAATATACTGTGTGTGTTTTTCGGGGGCTCGTTTAAATAAATATCTTTGTTGTTGACCGGGCCAACATGCCGACAACGTAATTGCAGTATCGATGCTGTGCACATTACAGACGCGATAACTGAAGTACTCGCATGGTATAATTCCCATACAGCTGCATGAAAAACACAAACCTAGTGTGCTACAACGATTCTTTATCAATTTAGTTGCGCACAAAGTTGCAGGCTACCTCGCTGTTAATATATCTGCCAGAGCAAGAGGGTGTTTCGTTCGGATTGTAGTGAATGTAAATCACTGCAAACGTTTTTGGAGCAAGAAGTGTCTCAAAAAGTAAGGCTGCCAAGGACAGCTCATTACTTCGACGGTTTTTGCAAACCCATATTATAACGACCCCCGTGCGTGTGTGTGTATGTTTTTATGTCTGTATGTGTACGTGTGTATGTCTGTGTGTCTGTATGTGTGTGTGTGTCTGTCCGGGTGTTTCAACTCTGCACCCAAGCAACCTCCGACGCCAAAATTTTGCCGGTGGTTTCCTCGGCCAAGCGACACCCCAGGACCGCAGCGTCAACCTTCACGCAAGTCTGGGTTCAATGTACGAGGGCGTGAAAGTTTTGCTGGGAAAATCGCTAACTCAGAACCAGAAAGCTAGAAAGCTGAGATTTTGAGGTTATGTTCCTCGCTCACATGGGACTTAAAGATTTCAAATTCAGCCCCCAAGTGTGCCTGTTGCCCTCGTATGGCCCTATTAGGGTTCCTGGCGCGAAAATCGCTAATTTGGGAATCAGGAAAGCTGGGAGGCTGGAATTTTCAGGGAATGTTCCCAGCATTTGCACAACTTAATATTACCGAATTCAGACCCTCGGTGTTTGTGGTTCTCATTTACGGCCCCATGGAAATTTTTGGTGGGAAAATGGCTAACTCGGGAACTAGGAAAGCTGGGAGGCTGAAATCTTCAGGAGATGTTCTCAGCACATATACAACAAAAATTTATCAGATTCAGCCTTCAGGCGTGCGTGGTTCTCAGTATGGGCCCGCAAAATTTTTTGGCGGAAAAATGGCTAACTCGGGAAATAGGAAAGCTGCGGCTGAAACTTTAAGGAAATGTTCCCAGCCTCCAATGAAAGTTAAATATAAAATTCAGCTCCCAGATAGGTGTGGTCGTCATGTACGGACCCACGAAATTTTTTGGCAGGAAAACTGCTAACTCAAGAGCCAGAACAGTTGGAAAGCTGAAATTTTAACGCAATGTTTCCTGCCCAAGTACCGCGTAGACGGTTAACTTCCCGAACTTCGAGGAACAATATGTCACAAATCCTAGCTACTAGGTTCCCGAGCGATCTCATTACAGCACAAAATACTGCAAAACTCATGCCTGATGCGCGCAACCAATGATTTTATCCCGGATCTTAGCTGTATGAAAGAATGCTCGTACTGGCATGTACAAATATACGAATTTCACTTATTGTGCAGTCCTGCGAGGTTGTTGGCTGTGCCGATTTTCTGCCTGTATCTTACGTCTCGGGTTCAAACAAAATACTGCTCTGCTTTGTCGTTTAGACAAAACACACCTCGCAGCAATCTATCATGGGGAGTAGTTCGTTCATGAATAGCGCCTTTTCTCCAGAATCGTTACCCATACATTACTCCGGCGTGCCTAGAGAGTCACAGCAAAGTTCAAGGGAAATAGTTATAAGGGTAACTCAAAGTTAACTTCAGAGTGGTGACCTCGTTTCAAAAATACGTCTTCAAAATCAGAATGTTTTTGTATGTACAGTACCCACCAGAAAACCACTAATATATTTGCATATTCTTTTAAACTATCAATATATTGGCATACTTTTGGAAAAAAAGTGTTTTTACATGTGTCAGAAGGTGCATGAAAGTAGCTGACCTGTGATATCTGTTGGGCGCGGTAAACCGCCAAGTTCTTCAAATAATCTCTTTTTGCAATTTCCGTCCTTTGTTTGTACAACTGGAAAAAAATTTCTGCGTAGTTTTTTACTTCTTTAATTACTTCACCAATTTTAAAGAATACTCCGCTAGTGGCAGATGGAATAACTAGCAGGCCATGTAGTTTTCGTTAAAGTGTCAAGATCTCATTGCACTCTTTACAGCTCTGACTCGTTTCAACGTTTCAAAGCTAGGTTTGGTAATTACAAGCTCAGTTTTTGAGTTTTCAATGCGCAAGAGCGCTTTTTAACTAGTTTTTTTGGCTTGATAAGCTGAAACTTTCCCTCTTCGAACTAATTATATTTTTTCCTCTAACAAAGAATGTCCCATAAAATTAGTATGATTCGTCCCAGTTCAGCACAGTCGGGGCGTAGCTGAGTGAAAAACAAAAAAACAAATGAGTGCGGATACGTTTTTTGCAGTGTTGTCCAGTGAATCCCACATCGATGCAACAATCTTGGATACTTCGCCAAAGCTGGCACTGGGGCTACGTCCTTTTATAACAGATTGGGTGTCTCGGAAGAACAGAGCATACGCTGAAACCGGTCTGAAAATGAAACATTGAAAAACTTGATATTTTTACAGCTTATGCGCTAAAAACGTTTGCTGCCTATGACCTAATGCTTCTATTTTTCACGAAACCCATTTTTCTTTTACGATATAAGAGACAAGCAACGGTACTGCAATTCGAAGTTCAAACGACAGCAACAGCAGGATATGACGACTTAAACGCTAACTTATTTTTTCTGCATAAATTTGAATACTGCAAAATGCCGCTTACTTTAACTGTTGGCCCAGTCATTCATACAAGATGTTTTGGAGGAAGATGCCTGATACAAAAGCGTCCACGCGCTTAAAGGCATTTAGAGTTAAAACAACTTTAGTAATTACTGGACAAAAATATTCCAACAACAGTCACTCGCTGACGAGGCGGTCGATGGCATTGTCTCTGTGTCTCAGGAGTTGCTTGCACGCAAGCTAATCGTTATTAATACATTTTTTTCTATTTCTGCTACTTTTTGACGAAACAGTGAGAAAATAACAGACAGTGCTATGAGTAAAAAATGTCCTTTTTTCAGACGAAGAGTCAGGCTACAGGCTAAATAATCCTGTTTATCTCAAATTTGAAAATTATTTCGCAACTGTAGAAATTTATTAGGAATTGGTAGAAAGAGAAACTTTTTTGGCTCATTTGGATCGCGCTTGGTACGTTTTCTCCTGACCATTCGACGTGGGCACCGATTTTGCTGTATCTGATTTGTACTGTCCGTTACATAACTGTTGCTGCTTTTACATATGCCATAAATAAAATTTTGCTGCTGTGCTGTGGCCGGGTAAAGTAGCGATGGCTCAATAGAATTCAGGTCTAAATAACGATCATTTTGTTCGATACCATAGATTCCGAAGTCTGCAGAACTACTGTCGGGATGCAATATTGCTGAAGGCGACAGCACTGGAGCTCCACGATACATTTTTTCTAAAAAAAAGATTTCTGAAATGAAAAATGTTTCTGCAAAGCCACCATTTTCTAACTCCAATTATCATAGTCGAAAAAAAACGTCTAAAGGTATAGAGCAAAAGGACTTCATGACAGCCGCCTTTTTCATGCATTTTTTCATGTACGCAAGTGTAAAAACCACGTATTAGGAGGAGCCATCGTTTTTAAAAAGCTAGCGCATCACATTTTCGTCATTTTATGCATTTTTGCAATTATGCAAATGAAAGTGCATTATAGCACGTTATAATTCAAACATGCACTGTGTCTGTTCTGACAATCAGTCTCTGAACTTTAGAGTTATGAGGCTAAAGTTTTTCTCATGCGTCTACAACATACTGAAAATGAGCGAAACAGGTGCAATTTAAGTGAAATATTTCTCCTTTAAGTGCTGAAAGCCTTAACAAATAATCCGTGTATCTGACCATGGGCAAGGCAGGCCGTAAAAAGTTCAGCAAAGTTCATGCGAAGAGAGATTCATCAGCAGCAGGATGATAGTTGAAGAAATAATGATCCAGCAGCGGTCATTGTTGCTCCTCCTTTTTCTGGTGTCCTGCTGCTGCATGGATGTGACCAGTGGAATGTACACCACAGGACGGGTGAGATTACCTGTCCGAATAATGAATGAACCAGTAATGACACTTGTTTTTCTATGGCACCCGAGGGAGCTACCCGCAATTATGCATTTTTATTCCAGGGAAATTACACAACGCACATGGCCAGCAAATTCGCGCCAGCCACCTGCAATTTTAATTATTAAGCTGTGCGCGAGGAAATATCTCCTTCACTTTCGTTTTCTTACCTCGCTATTTTAGCCCTTCGATCTCCGAGGCTCTTCTTCCCAACCCTTCCTATAAATATCCCTGGACTAAAAATGTAATACTATTTTATAACATTAGTTCATCATGCTGGTTATTATCACTGGTCCTGGCCAATATGCCGATTTTAGCACAATAAAATATTGCTTATTACTGTTCTCTGTGCTGCTAGCTACTAAAAAGCGGCGCTTTGCTTCAGCAGTACTCTAAGCCGAAATGACCACTGAATAGCCAAGACAACTGCATCAGTAAAAAAAAAAAACCGACCGCACGGCTTTCAGCTGGAGTTCTTGACCCTACTGCGCTAAATTTCCTTTATGGTTTTCTAGCCATACCCCTCTGATGCCTTGAACCAGCATTGCTCTTGCATACAGTTTCTGAATATTCAGTGTAGCTACACTCAAATGATTTTTTTAAGCAACTATGCGTCCTAAACTCTCACTCTTCAACTCATGCTGTTAGGCCCATAGGGACGAAATGAACTTTCTGTTCCGATTTGTTGCATTTTTTTTTTACTTTGGCTAATTCGTCGCTATGCGAGTCGGTTTTGAAAATATAGCAGCTTAATGAAGACACTATTAATAATTTGCACTGAAAATGATCTCTGCGCCAACCCACAATGCTTTCCAGAAACTTGTAATCCAGCTTTTGATAGGAGATCTCTTTAGGCATACTACGGTAATAAACTACTACAGGATATAGGCCCCATCCCAGAGATATCGGGTACTCCACAGTGGTAGTCCGAGAAATGCTGATTATATAGAAGCACACAGAAGTAAGACCAGAACTCCTAAAATTAAAAATTTCAGAAAAACTTGGAATAATTTAAGTGATAAAAATAATTATTTGGCCTAAGAGCAAACGAATAAGAAATTGAAAAAGTGCCCTATCGAGCGCACATCGCTGGGATACTGTGAGAAGTGTCGATAATTATATCATCCAATGCTGAGTTCTGTCCGTTCGAACGGGTTTCCTGGTTGGTTATTTTTCGGGAACCTAACCAGGGCAAGCTGTCATCTGGCGTGAAGAAGATGATCACTCAGAGGGACGGCCCCAGAACAAACGATGTTCTCGCGGCCGTAGCACAATGGTCACTGCACATTAACACATTTCAGTCACGGCGAAGAAAATGCGCCGGCCGATGGCATAATCGTGGTTTCACTGATTGCTTACAAATTACTAAGGTGAGTTACCTACAGGGAAGTGCTATAACTGTTGAAAACGAATGAAAGTTTGGATGGATAGTGCAAACACGATTTCAAATGGTTTTTGAAAAAACGCACTGAGAGCCAAAAAAACAACTCCAGTGAAACTGAATTCAGGCGCTAAACTGCTCAGATGAAACAATGGAAATTTTCCAAGAAAAAAAAAGGCTGCCGGTCAGTCAGTAGAAATGAAAGAGAGAAAAAAAAAACAGCTCTCGTACTACGGACAATTTCGTTTCGTTAAAGACTGCTTTCCACTTTCGATCCCTAGCTACAGTGCCAGTAAATTGCATACAAGAAAGCAATATCCTCGGATAACGACGGCCAACTGAGAAAATCGTTGGCTGCGCGCATCAGGCGGACCCGTGCAATCATGCGTTTTTGCAGTGTTTCGTGCTGTAATGAGATCACTCGGAAATCCAATAGCTAAAAATGTGTAATATACTGGTCCTCGAATTTCGGGAAGTTAATTGTCTACGCTGTACTTCGACAGGGATCATTCCCTTAAAATCTCAGGCTCCCAGCTTTCCCAGTTCCCGAGTTACTCATATTCCTGCCAAAAAAACTCACGGGGCCGTACCTAACAACTATCCATGCCTGGAAGCTGAGTTTGATAAATTTAATTTTTACGTGAGCTTGGAACATTCTCTGGAAATTTCAGTTCCCCAGCTTTCCTGGTTACGGAGTTAGCCGCTTTTCAGCCAAAAATTTTCACGGGGCCGCACGTGATAACTATGCATGACTGAGGGCTAAATTTAATAAACTTAAGTCATAGATGAGCTGGGAACATCCTCTAAAACTTCCAACCTCCCACTTCCCCGGCTCCCCATTTAGCCATTTTCCCGCCAAAAAATTTCAGGGGGCCATATGTGAGAACTACACATGCCTGGGGGTCGAATTTGATAACTTTAAGTTGTACATAGACTGGGAACAGCCTTTTAAAATTTCAGCTTCCCGGCTTTCCTGAATCCCAAGTTAGCGATTTTCCCGCCAGGAACCCTCACGGGGTTGCACGCGGGAATCGCGCACATCCTCGGGGCTGAATTAGAAATCTTTGAGTTCTATATGGATGGACAAAATAACCTCAGAACTTCAGCTTTCAAGCTTCTTTGGTTCCCTAGTCAGCGATTTTCCCGCCAAAACTTTCACGCACTCATACGCGGGGCCCAAACGTGCGTGAGGATTGGTGCCGCAGTCCTGCTACGGCACTCAGCCGGGGAACCCACTCGCAAAATGTTAGCGCCGGAGCTTGCTTGGGTGCCGAGTTGAAATACCCGGACAGACGCACACACACCAGGGATCGTTGCAATATGGATTTTCGCATTTGCATATATGTAAAAACGCATAACTAGATCTGCGTAACAAAAATATCCCCAAAACATGTTGTAATATTTATAATTATTAGCCTATTATTATTATTACTATTATTATCGTTGTAATTATTATCACTATTATTATAATACAGTAGGTCCCAAACAAAATGACACAGTGAATGCTCAACGCGCTTAGCTGATGCGCCCAAAGAAGCCGGGACCTCTCACCAGTAATAGGAAAACGTTTTATCCCCGGTAAATGATGATTAGATGCCAAACAAACAGAGCAAAACTGTTTGTCCGAAGCTGTAGTATCTGACAGCCAGCCTGTTGGTATTTCGCTCTCATAACTTTTCATTCTTTTCAAAAAGAGAAGTCTGATGGACTTCATTCTCCACCCGTCTCC